GGCAGGGCTTTAAGCTACAACAAGGGTGACCCCAGTGCCTGATTAATATAACATTTCTGATGTCCATAACAACACACATGCATAAAAAAAAAATCACCAACTACCCGCCCGCACTAAAAAAATATCCGTCCGACCCCGCGTACCAGTTTATTTTTATTTATGTATTTTTCACCTGCAAAAGAGCATTTTAGCGGGTGACCTGTCGGGGACCCGTGGGTACCCGACCCGTTGCAGGACTCAATCGCAGCCCCACCTCCTGTACAGGAGAGTGGAGGACCTCGTCTATTCAGCAAGGCCAACAATCCCCTTTAACGACCGACCTTTCAGACACTATGTTCACACTGCAGCCTTAAGTGACCCAAATCCGATTTTTTGGCCCATATGCGACCTGGATCTGATCTTATCATGGCTGTCTGAACAACACAGATTTTTTTCCAATGCGACCCAGGCCACTTGGCTCTGTGGTCCTGAATCCGATACAAACCTGATCTTTTCAAATGCGACCTGTGTCTGGACGGCCAGGTCGGATTCATCCGATCTGAACGCTATTGATACCTGACTAAGGTCATTATTCTGGGTCTTGCTATGAAGAAGCGGCAAGAAAAACAACAACTGTGGCCGACGATGATGCGGAGAGCAGTATTTATGTTTAACCATCTTGAAAAGATTGTGTTTTTATGGTTGGGAAAGATCGCTAGATGCTCTCCGGCACTACCATCCATGTTTACTTCCGTAAACACAGAGCACACTGGCCTGTGATGTCATTGCGCCTCTACTGCACATGCGGGACCCTTGAGTTGTAATACTGCAGTTCACACAGGAGATCAAATACAAGTCACATACATATATTTGGAAACGTGAACGAAACGCAAAAAAATTGGATATCACAAAAAAAATCGGAATTGAGCATCAAGACCTGCTGTGGGAACGTAGCCTTAGACAGGTATGGGGTATTGCAGTCTAACAAAAGAAGCCAAACGACCCCAATTCCAAAGGGGTGGACCCCTTCATCTGTTCCAATTTGCATGTGTTCATAACAAAAACAAGGCTTTGTTGGGCTGCTGTATAAAACCTCAAACTCAACACTAATTCTGATATGTTGAATTGAAAAAGCTTCCTGGATAGGAAGCGAAACATCTTAAAACTTGGAAATAAAGTTGAGTGGATTGTTTTTAATTTTCTTTTATGGGATGACTATGACCTAGATGACTGGGAACCTTCACCAGTCTCTAGAATTATATTTTAAGTGAGTGGGGATTGTACTGCATGCTTAAAAAAAATACAAAATCACATGACCAGGTGATGCAGATGATGAAGACAGCACAGCTTTGTAAGTAATCACACTCCTGTCTGTGAAATCTTGGAAAAATTCAAACATTTGGTCGCAGTTTAGTTATAATCGTTTGTCTGTTCCAACAATTCAGGAATGTGTTTCTGTGCAAAATTCACAAAGTCAATGTGAAGGTGCTAGTGACCCTGGTGAGCGAGCATCATAACCTACAAAGGCAAAATATATATATATATATATATCCATGTCTTGTTAGATGTCACTCAGGGAAGAAGAAGCCATTAACCCAATTGTGACAGAAAGTTATACAAGCTTCTAATTACACACAGGACAAAGAATTTTATTTTTAGAAACATTGTGGTCTAATACTTAACTGCAGCATTGGGACATAATGAGGCTTTAATATGGAGGAAAAACAGGGAAATTCTAAAGTGTGAGAACCATTAGTACAGAAGCATCATTTGCAGTCCTAAAACAGCAAATAATGTAGGGAAACAGCTGCCTAAGTATCACCAATAAGCTACTCATCGCTCCTAATGCTGCTTTTTATTTTCCTCTAGAGTGAAATTATGCTCAATAACTCAACATCCTACAACAACACATACAGCACTTAAAATTAGAGCCTTTCCCTGAAGTTGTATAGATATATATATATTTTCCTTCTTTAAACATATCATCATGATGGTTATTTGATGGTGTCATATCTACTCAGGTAATAAATAAAATACCGTAATAAATAAAGATTATGCATAGGTGTTCTTGGTCTACCATTTTCCCCCCTGGGGGAAGTGATTAAAGAGTTGATCAACAAAAGAAGCACATTACTGACAGGTAAAGAAGCAATCTTAGACTCTGCAATGGCACAATAGCATATAAGAAAAGATTTGACCAATGAGAATCTAGAAAAAGCATGTAATTTTGTCCTAAAACGAAAATGATTTATTTGTTTAAACAAAGATTCTCTCTGTTTTCAGGTTTTATGTTTTTTAATGTCCTGCACATGTGTAGAACTATATGTATATCAGTTTTCGTATTATTGTATTTACATTACTTTTATCAACGTTTTCTTTCAACTGAAGCTGCTAAATCATATTTTTTTCCATGATTTTATCCCATTTAACATATTGTCTAATAAGTTGGTCCAATACTCACTCTACTACAATAAAACCATTAGAAACATTATATAAACAAGCATTAAAAATACTATATAAAAAAACATACCATTACCACCACTGTAGTATTCTGAGGAAATATCAGTTACTTACATGGAACAATCTTATCAAGTTCAAAAACATCTGTTTAATTTATAAAATCAGACATGGTTTAGCACCACCTCCACTATGTAACTTTGTACAGTTCAGATCCAGTGAGATCAGGGTAACCAGAGGGGCAGTGAGGGAAAACTGCATCATCCTCCGGAGAAAAACAGCCTTTGGTCAGGCTGTCTTCTCCGTAAGAGCATCTCAGCACTGGAACACAGTGCCGGAAACCATCAGACTCTTTGTCATTCTCTTCATTCAAAAAGAATGCAAAAAAATGGCTTGTAGAGAGCCAAATTTGTGGGCACTAAGGTTTTCTGTGTGTATTTAAATAATTTAATTTTTAATTATTTTACATGAATTGTATTTCTTAACCATAATGTTTTTCATGTAATTGGTATTATAATTTTATCGTGATTTTATACTTTAAGGTTGCCTTTTTTATACCTGGCTGGGGGACTACCGATGAAAATTAGCACTCCTTAGCTAACTCTGGTATATTTACATTGTTTTTATATTGATTAATGTACACTGTCCCCTTTCAAATAAACAATAAATGAAAATGAAATGAAACCATGCTTTTTTTCCTTAAAAGAGTTTTAAATGGCAATATAAACTGTGTGATTGTAGCTGCATGAAATTAAATCATTTTCATTTCATTTTTCTAGAAGTTGCACAAAATATTGACTTGCAATTTTAAATGCAATTTAAATCTTTACAGCAAGCCATAATATTTCACCAGACATGTACTAATGCTGTGCATGAAATCAATAGATCTGGACACCAGCTGGATGGACTATCACTGCCCATGGTGTTCAAACCTGAAATAGATGTAGGTGCAAGAAATGCATGAGTCACAAAGAGAATAGATGTGAAACAGGGAAGAAAATCTGGTTTAAAGGCAACTGATAAAATAATCACTTAAGCTGTATGCTGATCCATATATTCCTGTATCATATGGTTATAATTGCAGTGGATACAATTACAAGAAAATCACTGCATTGGCCACTAATACTGGTAATATGGTGCAATATATGCTGTAATTGAGGGTCATTTTTTCTAACAACTGAATATGCAATTATAATTATTTATTTTTTTTACTACATCATTACCAGAATCTTTATTCAGCAACAGTAGAGGAAACTGAACAATGGACTTTACAGCACAACTGCCATACAATATACACTACATACAAGACTTTTTACATGTAATTGATAATATCATCTATTCCTCTCTGTGATTTTGGGACATTGTGCAAAATCAAAACAAACACAAAGAACTAAACCTTCCCAGCAGGGTTTGGTTTAAAGTAAATCTTAATTAGTCCAGCAAACAGCCACTAATTAACCAATTAGCAGCTGTGGGTCGTAGTGTTGCGCTCATTTACCTCCAGGGTGGCGGATACCGGCAGCACCGTGGTGCTCAGCAGCAGGTCGGCCATGGCCAGGTTGATGATGAAGTAGTTGGTTGGAGTCCGCAGGTGTCGGTTACAGACCACCGACAGGATGACCAGGATGTTCCCCACGATGGCGAACATGATGAAGGAGGCCAGCACCATGCCAACCGGGACCGCCCGGCTCAGGTCCAGCTGGGCGGCGGTGGAGGCCGGGTGCTCGGTTCGGTTGGAGGAGGAGTTGGAGTCCAGAGGGAACAGGTTGGTCCCGGAGCCGTTAGTCCTCAGACTCATGCTGAGAAACGGTCAGAAAATTCAATTTAGCTGGACTTTAATCCAGTAAGGAGCGGGGGAAAAGTTTAATATGTTAATGGAGTCCAAACAGCGTCGGTTCCGTTACTTTGTTTTTTTAATGAAAGCTTGGAAGAACATAGAAATGAGCTTTTCTCGGCTCCCCGGTCTGAGCTGAGCGCTCCTGTCGTGGAGCGCGAGGCGCGCGCTGCGCTGCGCAGCAGCAGGTGGAATGAAGCTCCAGTCCAGTCCGGCTGCTGCGGGACAAACTGGGCTCCACGGACCGATCGGTCAGCTCCTGCCGGCCCCAGCGGAGCTCCTCCTCGGCTTGCACTGTTGGTTTAGGCGCAGGAAGAAAATGTGTGTGTCCTTTTATGGTCCAAGTGTTTAATGTGGGAAAGTTCCGAGAGTTGAGGGAGAAAAGGCAGAGATACAGAAACACACACACCGATACATGGCTCTCTCACTGCGACTGAGCTGTACTGATACAATCTTCAAATGCAGCTTTAATTATTAAATCCTTCACGTGTTCTCATATTATGTCTAAACTACAATGCAATTATCAAAATCCCATCCGACAGAACAAAGCAGTGGCTTAAAAAAAAAAACAAAAAACAAAAAAAAAACTATGGGGTTTATACCATGTTTTAAAATGCAAACCTGAAAAGTGTGGCGTGCACTTGAATTCAACCCCCCTGAATCAGTGCCTCCTGGAACAGGTGTTCTCATATTAAAAAGGGTGGTGGAGGTTATGAAACACTGCCTGAAGTTGTGAGATGATATTTACATTTATTTTAAAGTTATCTCTGAGGTATATAATAAGTCATACATGTTAAAGACCAGAGAAAAGTATAAATAACACATATATTAAACTCTTAAAGTAAATGTAACAAAAAAATGTAATTCCCAATTAAATCATAAATATGGTATGTAAATACATAGAGTAAATAATAAATTAATTAAATTAAAATTTAAAAATGAACTTACTTAGAACTAAATGCAATTACTTTACTATATTTGTACATAGATATGAGCCAAACAAGATTTACAGGGTGGTCAGTCCATGTGCGATATTTTTCTCTCTCACAATTGTGCAATAACACATGTCAAATACTGTGTAGCCTGTGTAATTTTTTTACTTATTTCAAAGTAAGGTACATTACAGTGAATATGCTGTCAATATACAATTCAACTACTTTGTAGTCTGTTTAATTTTCACCTATTTAGTACATTTCTGCAGTACAAGTGCAATAACCCAAGTCAACTACTTTGTAGTCTTCCCTTAGCTCTCTGTAATTGATATTTAGATATTTTTATATCTAAGGAAAACTTATTCCAGGACATTACAACTTCTTTCTTCTATGCTTTTTTGGTACTATATAAACTCTGTTTATATTATCTTTCACATTTTTATTTTTAATGGCATCTTGATTTAACTCTTTGTACTCTATATAAGCTAATGGGACCAGAATTTCCCTAAAGGAGTAATCCCAAGGGATCAATAAAGTTAAGTCTAAGTATAGTCTGGGTTATGGTTATTTTTGGGGTTGTGGGCTGAGAAATCAGGAACACCTGCTCTAGAACCACGTTATTCCGATCCTACAGCTGCAGGTCCTTCTGGTCTGTTATATGGGCTTTCAGAATCTACAGAATGGATTTTTGGCTCATTCCTTTGTAGAATTTAGCTTAATTTAATAAGTATAAGTGGAAAACATCTGTGAACACCAGATTTTAGGTCTTGCTCCAGATTATTTTTTAGATTATTTTTTTTCTTTCTCTTTCCTCCCATTATTATCCTGATTTAGTCATGTACTCAGACCAGCTTCCCTGTTACTGATGAAGGAAAAAAATCCAACAGCATCATGCTGCCACCACTTGGCATGGCATGTGGAGGAGAAAGTCTTAAGCAGGTAGCAGATAGGTGTATGTTAGTGAAGGAAATTTAATGAAAAAAAAAAAAGAAACTCATGAAAACAAGAACTAGGAGGTACAAGAAAGTGTAAATCATAAAACCACCATGTTTTAATCTGTGGATTAAGTGTCCACACAGTGATTAGAATGGGGGCAAAAAATAACAAAAAGGCTCAGGAGTGGTGGAGGATGGTTCAGACTATCAGATTACTGTTGGTCAAGTCACATAAGCATTAAATGAGTTCCATTTTTTATTGTATTTAATTCTTTTTTATAACCCAGAGTAACTCCAGTTTGCCCAGGATAAAAAATATGGCCATAATGCATAGAATATTATTATTTTTATGAAAAAACATACAAAAAATCATGCTTTTTTAATTCATTCTTTATGATACACTGGAAAACATTGAGGTGATGAAAATCTTTGCAAGTATTTAAATCTGCATTTCATAGTAAACCGTTTCGCCACTTGTTTGTTTGAACTCAATGTTTTTTTACACAGGCCTTTACCCACCTATTTACAACAAAAGGTCATCTCAGTACAAAAATAATCAGGTTCTGTAAACCTGAAAACAGCAGGAAATGTCATCTCTTCTCTCTTTCCGTAAATAAAAGATGGATTAACCCTCACATTGATGGAGAAGAAAATGTCATCTTTCTGTTCTGCATCCGTTATGTTATAAAAGGTAATAATTTGATCTAAAGTTCACATAATTTTGCCATAGCAGCTTTATTTAGAATGACTGGCTCTAAACACCTGGATCAAGTTTGCATTTGTTTGAAATTGTTCTGCTTTACTACATTAACTCATATTTAAGGTCATCCATCATAGGATTCTAATTTAATAAATTGACTAAAACATTTACTTTGTTAAAGAAGTTGCTTTTAACAGCACTATCTTATACTTATGCATATTTTATAGAACTGATGCTCAAACAGCCTTAGGCAAGGTTATTTTAATTAAGTGCAGTCAGGCTGTAGTGAACAGCTGCTTTAATTACCAACATGTATGATTAGTGTTTCCTTTTCTAATTAATTTCTTGCATGAATTTATAAAATAAACACTTGAAGCCAAAATAATAGTTATTAAAAAAATATTCATACTGGAGGCGATTCATAAAAAAATTATCCTGTTGAAAAAATATCTAAAAATAATAACAAAAGTTCTTTGAAATCAGAAGAAATGAAATTCCATACCACAAAATATCTAAAATATGACTTAAATAATATATTAAGTAGTGCTGCGCCGATGCCATTTTTTGGCCCTGATACCTGACTGTGCAATATTGGCCGATACCGATACTAGGGGTGTAAATCACATCCATCATGGCGATTCGATTCAGTATCGATTTCCTGACCCAACAAATCGATTATTTTCGATACCCAAGAATACACCACGATACGATTCGATTAATTGGTTCATTTTTGGGTTTTTTTTTTTACACCTTACAGGCTAGACAATGCTTGAAATTTGAAATAAATCAATGAAAGCTGTCATATCGTTAAGGCAAGGCAAGGCAAATTTATTTGTATAGCACAATTCAGTACAAAGACAATGCAAAGTGCTTTACATGATTAAAATACAGGAAGATAAAACAGAATCAAAGCAAGTAGGAAAAAAATACAAAAATTAAATAAAAAATAAATAAAATAAAATAAAAAATGCAGAAACAAAAAAGAATATTAAAAACAGTTGGAAGTTTTTGTTGGATTACATTTATTTATTTGATTTTTTTTTTTTATGGAGAAGAAGAGGACTTCGTTTGAGCTAATTTTCCAGTATTTGATTTCTAATTATCTATAAAGCTGTTAGCATTTGATCAAAAATTTCTCCTTGGGCAGTTGACAATTCCCCAGAACCTTGCCTTTTGTTCTACTACCATAGAACTGCAAAACCTTTCCCATTATCTACAGGTAATTTAACTCTGCCCGATACACACCAATCCTACTGTATGGTGCCAACCTGGATAACTGGGGATGCATTTTTTTTTAGAAACAACAGCAAATAACAGAAGTAGAAAAGTTGCATTAAAAAATACTGCACAAAATCAGTGCAATGAGTGCAATTCAATAATTCAATTCAATTTTTGGCCCTCATGTCCCTCCGTCGTCGGACTAAACTC